GGCAAATAAGGGCCAAAGTTTTTTTTTTTTTTTTTTTTTTTTCCTAGGGAAAAAGTGTGTCTAAGTGTTTTAAATCACCATCATTGAGAAACCAGCACCAAAAAAAAAAAACAAAAACAAAAAAAAGAAAATATTACCCAGGCTTAGCATTGTGACTAGGCAATATTACAGTGTCAAAGAAAGTATGTAAGTGTGTGATAGGCAGTACGTTCGGTCTCCCAGCTCGTCTGGAATGATGTGAGTTGCCTGCAGAACTGGAAGCAGGATAGCTGCACTCGCATGGCGCTCAGCCCGGGCTAATTAGCCCTGCTGCGAACATGTTAACATGGCTATTTTGCTTCCGGGACCTAAGCTAATATTGCTGAACAGTACAACATTACGCTATGCAGGCACTCAGACATTTCTGGATGTAGCTCAATTATCTATACACGGTGATGCATTGCACAATATAGAAATACAAAGAATGTTAATGAGCCAGTTATCCCAGCTCACACTAAAGGGGCGGCTAGACCATTCCCCAGACAAGAAAAACACCTCCTAACTCTTACACCCAACCAGTCCAGCACTGGAGGCCACTGGAGTCCCTGTGCTCAGGCTAGCAGAAAGAAAACTCCCTCCTGGCACTCCAGGAGTACAAATTGCCTTGAAGCATCAGACTGGACGCAAGGTCACGGCCTTGAACTCTTCTTATGTTCATGGCTTTGGAAATAAATTACATTCCCCCAAGGTGGAATGCAGGGTGTGTCCTCTGCTCTGGACTCAGGAGCTCTTAAAATGATTGCATTCCACTGGGTTTAGGAAGTGCCGTTTAACCAAGAGGGCTGTGCCTAATTGCTATATCCCTGTCCCCAGGTACAGATTGGTATACGCCAGGGTGGAATGGCATGCAAAAAAAGACAAAGAGCTCAATTGTTCCCACCAGAACAAAGAAAGCTTCTGGATACTGAACGCTTTGGGAAACGCAGATACACATCAGGGGCTCAAGTCTGATTTCTTGGCAGTTGAGCTCTCTTGGAAATCAGTCTCTAAGCCCACATGCAGTAACTTTTGCAATACATCACCAAAACCATTAAAGAGAAGCTTGTAATACAAGAAATAGACATTGCTGTAATAATAAACAGGATTTTCATGCTGTAGCAGAGAGACTACTGCTTCTGGCTAATTTACATTCCTTTCCGATAGAATGAGGTTATAACTGTGAAAAAATGGGATTCTATGTAGAAAACAAACAAATAAAAACCTCAATAACCCTCCTCCCTCTCCAATACCTTTATGCGGAGTCTTGGAGGCTAGGATTTTTGTTTTTCATTTTATTTGAGTAGGGAAAATAGGAGGAAAATCTAGGTGTCTTCTAGGGTTATAATTGTGCATATGTGAGGTGTGAGGCATAAATACGACAATTCTGTCATCACTTTACAGTAAATATGCAAACAAAAGTGTAGCTGACTCACTATTTGACTGCAGAGGGCACGGTGCATGGACATTGTGTTTTGTTTTCAAAGCCTGGTTCCATGTGCAACGACTGGGTCAGGTCTTTAGCAGATGCAAACTGGTGCAGTAGCACAAACAGTAACAGTGCAGTAGCTGTAACAGCTTATGCCTGCGTTTCGAGAAAGAGGAATATATGGTCCGTGCTCTTAAGAAGTAAATGTTTGTGTGATGCATGCAATATACGTGAGCGTATCTGCATGCATTTTAAAAAATAGATAAATACTACCTGAGGAATCTTTGATAGTCATTCTCTCTTTTCACTTCTGACCTCCCTCAAAAAGAATGCAAATAAGCCAACATATTACACTGTATATGAGTACAAGCATAGCACAAGAAGTATCAAGTATGGCAGATAGGCCGATGATACTTTTTCTCCCTCCCTCAAACCAAAAATAGGAAATGCCATTTGCCACGATAAATCACACAACTGGTTTTGAAAGTGACTGTTGAAAGCACTTCCTCCCAATTTGTAACGATATCCCCAGTGATATACGGAATGGAGATGACGTAAATCTAAATCAGTGCTATTCAGTGCTACAGCGGCTGCGTTATTACAAAACATGCTCGTAGACGGTAAGCATAAGGATGGGCTGATGAGCAGGACAAGTGACAGCTGTTTGACTCTGGGCAAAGAACTGCCAGGGAGAGTATTGTAATCTTCTGGGTTTGAAAGTAGCCGGGAAAAAGGAATGCTTTCCAGAGAAGACTTTCCCTAAGGGGGACGACCAGTGAGAGAGCATATTGTTCAGTTAACGAAAACTAGCCAAAGAATAGGCTGCATTGACTAACCTCCTTACCAAAAACAAAGCCTATTCTAATTTCAGCATGTGTCTCTGACATTAATGTACAGGAGCCCTGAGGCACTTTGAGGTAGAGTGTAATTAAGCTCAAGTGGACAGAAATTGGGTTTACACCAAGTAAATGATTTCAAAAGTTGCTGGTCTCCTCCCATATACTGTTATTCTATGCTTGCTATGGAAAGAAGGCAAAGGCTTATCTTTATGCAGTACAGACCACATTAACTAGACAGCATGAGCAGAAACTGTTATATTATCCATTGTTGTAACAGTAGACATCAATTCCATATCGGAGAATTAAGTATAGCAGATACAGCACAGCAGACTACAGATCCAGAGGACCTTAGCGAGTTAGTCTGTAAACAGAGGAGTTTGTTTACATATCTTTAATTTATATTGAATAACCATAATAATTTTATTTATATAAATAAAATGTACAAAAAAGCAGGAGGCGGAATTTTCAGTAGAATTCTACATCCTTCAGGAAGTTCCCAATAAATAAAAAAGACAGTGTAAAACTAACACTAATTATGACCACCTTATCTACCAGTTTCCATTATTCTGGTTAAAAAAAGTGTTCTTGGGCGCTGAAATCTTTTGGGAGTTCCTTGCTTTCCATTTGAAGGTAACGGATACTCTTGAACATCTGGCTTTATGTGTATTTGTGTGCCCATGCACAAAAACACACACACACAAATGCGTATTAAAACAAGTGTGCATATGTGTGTCTTGCTACACAGAGTAATACATCCTCCTTGTTAGAGATGTTTATGCATGAATGTAACAATATAGGTTCAGCTGTTTTCAAGGTTTTTGTGTTTTTCATTTGAGTATTACAAAATAAATTGCAAGACATTTTTTTCCCCTTAACATGATTACTCTACAAATTCAGTCTCATTTGAGGTACAATTCTGCCTAGTCATTAGGACTACCTTACAATACTTGTGCTTTTGTTATGATATCTTATCTGCTGTTTTTCTAGGTAAAGGATGCCGGAGCTCTCTTGCTAATATATCTTAGTTTAATATAATCTCTAATGTGCCTTGACTTGAAAATGTTGTCTACCAAATTTTCCTAATGCATTAAGTGCTTTCTCATAATCAGCAAATGCCATGTCTAGCAGCAAATCATATATGTTTGCATTTCCATTCTGCCATTAATCATACCTCTGAGAAATACCCAACTAAAGATTATCCATTCTTTTGTCTGGCTAAAAACCTCCTAGAGAACTGATTTATGAATGAGGGTTTTTTTTTTTTGTTTTCTTAACATTTAGGTCAAAGACTGAAGTGTGAAAAGTCTGTAGCCACTGAAATCTCAATTATTAGGGTTTCCCTGGACTGCAGAAAACTCATACATTTACATATTTATATTCACATGTGCCTGGTGTTTGGTTTTCAGTGTGTGCTCTTTTTCTTTCTGGATTTTTTTTTTTTCCTAGACACATCTTACTGCAAATCATAAACTCTTTTGTTCATTTATTTATTTTCAGTCTTTTCCTTAAAAAGCTAATGTTCACTTGCAGCAGAGTAATGTTGCTCAGCAAATACATGTAAATGAAGACCTCTGAATGAAACATCACAGAAACGTGTTACCTAATTGTGTGCTTACTATAATAGTGTTATTGATATCTGGCTCATCTCAGGAGATAAACATTTGCTCAAAGCTAATATATTTTTTTAATTTGAAGACAACTTTTAAAGCCTAATTTTTCTGACTTTGGCCAGTGATTCCTGAGTACCTGGATTGACTGAAGGCTGAAGGACAGGACCGGAGCGCTCACACTGATCCACTCCTACAGCACTATGTGTTATAGCAGTGGACAGAGAATACGTCTGCCAAAGAAGTCAACAGACCCTTCTGCTATAACTGGAGGAAGATATTAGCAACAACAGCAGGCTGTTAAATAGCAGACTTTTTACTGATCATCATTGTTATGTAACAGTAATTGGTTTATCTTTGCATTACCATTTTAAGAGGCTTCTGGCCTTGGCAGAGATGCTTCTTCAACAACAGTGCAGCTCATGAAAGTCTAGGTCTGGGTTAAGTGTACCACAGGGGCAGACATCTTCCATAAGGGGTAATACCAAACATAATGAAAGAGAAGTGGAAGAGGACAATCTTCTAAAGCAGGTCGGGCACTAATAGAATGAAACTTAGTGCTGGAGTAGATCTGGTTCCTGCCGATCAACTGTTCAAGGAGTGAGCCTTATCTCAGGCAAGGAAACCTCCAGGCAGGTGTGGATGCAGCATACAAAAATACACATTTTTGCCTTCCCACCCCCACCAATAATCACATGTGCTCAGAAACAAAGAAATGATTCCAACTCTCAGTAGTGCACAGGGATGATGTACTGATGTATAACGAATAGCTTGGCATTGTGCACATACCAACAAATGAATCCTCACTGAAAGCTAATGAAACAAAAGCTGCCACTTCTGTATATCCAAAGGTCAATATGTTCTTACTTAGATGCAGGGTTATCATTTATATTATTTTCTAAAAGGAGTACACTCATTCAAAACCAAGTCTACTTATTCTTCAGTGCAGTAAATTTCAGACAGAATTGGTAATCAGTGCTCTGAAAAATTACTAGGATGACTTCTTAGGTAGCATTATTTCCTTTAGTTTTGGAGGAGGAAAAAAAAGATTTTTTACAAAAACAAATGCAACTTTTCTATTAAAAATAGGATAAGAGAGAAAGACCTCACCTTACAAACTCTCCCGACTCGGGAAAGGATTGTCTTGTCAGATGTCCCGCTATCTTGTGATATTTCTCGGAAAAAGAAGTAGATTTTGTCATCATCGGGGTTATAGGTGTCCGGGATGGGAAAAGTTCCGACGAATTTTGCTCCTAAAAATTCCCAGAACATGTTTTAAAAGTAGGAAGAAAAGTGCTAACACATGATATTACATTTCTGCTTCCATAGCTGCTTTTAGATTGTACCCTCTAGTGAAATTAGAAATATTGCTATACAGACATTTAGTCGCAAATCTATTATTAACTCTGAGCAAAAAACATCATGAATTCTGAAACACTTACTCTTAGCCTGATGTTTTTGCGTATATATACCTGACTTTAATTTGCACAAGTATGCAGCATTGATTATCGTTCTGTGTGTTTTTCAGGACAAAATATTGCCTACAAAAAGCTGCCTCACTTCTCTTGCCACCATTATCAGGGTTAGATTTTTCCAAAATTGTGTGGTAGAATTTAAATTTATCTAATTACACATTACAGCAGTTATGAGTACAGAAATACACTACTGCTTAGTAGATTCAGCTTACAAATGAATGAAATAAATAACCTTTGTTGGTCTACAAGATTGTAAATATATATACATATAAACGACAGCTTTCCCAAGCTAACAATTTCCTAGATACCTGCGCTGTAACAAGCGTATGGACTATATCTACAAAATGCGATACAGCGCCATGCTGAGATTCCCGAGTCAGCATACCAGAGTGCACGACGGACCTGTATGGCCTAATGGCACGATGCCTTGCTGTGCAGAGATATTCACCTGCAAACCCCAGACAGGTTAGCTATCTCAGCATAGTGGTCTGTTTGAGCTATTTAAATCTGCTCTTTTCAAGGAATGCCATGGCATACCTTGCCTTGACATGGTGAGCACTTATACTACTTCTGGTGTCTTTCAAAGCATCTTATAGGGATGCTTACTGGGCCAAGAGTTTGATGCATATCCCTCATTGGATACGTATCCTTCTTCTTCAGCTTTCCTGCTCATAGTCTCCCGTCTTGTTCTACTCGCTCACCACATTTCTCATTTGCAATAAAATCAGAAATCAAATAAAATCCAGGGGTGAGCAACTGCAGCACAGCAGGCAACAACACTGTTGCACAAGTGAACCAGGTATCGAGACATTCCCTGATGTGCTACAACAAATGAGCTCTTCTGAGGACCCTTGGATCAATAATGTTTTTTGTTAAACAGAAGAGGGTGGCAAATACAGTGCGAAGAGACCATTGCCTCTGGAATACATTCCCTCAGGAATAAAATACACAGTCTTTGTCCCTCGTGACAAGGCAGACAATAGGAGCAAACTGTAAGGAGGATAACATAAGATGTCAGAGTAAACAGTGCACATTGGTGATTCATGGGGGAATATTATCATCTGCTTTAAGTATATATATTCATATTGTTGTCCCTGTTCTAATGATTATTATTTATATTAACCTTGAGAAATTTTCCTCATGAACTCTGCAATACACAAAGAACAAAAGAGGGTCCTTGATTCATAAGTTCACAGTTTAAGAAAATGGGATGGATTTAAGTGCTGAATATGCACCTTAATGACAGAAGAAGAAATCTGTGGGTCAAAATAGCCACAGCTTTACTTCCATTTGAAACCTTTCTGACACCATAGAATGGCATCAGCGGGAAAATGAAATGATGAAGGCATCAAGCCCTATAAATTTAAGTTAGGATTTTGAAATGAGCCTAAAGAAAATATTCAATTACTTTTGAGGTCCTTTCAGTCTACTTTGAAGATTAGATCTCTAAGCATGAATATATACATTAATATGTGTCCAATACAGATTCTAAAATATGTGGTTAGTTAAATAACTGTTTAATAGGAAAACCTATGAAATACTTCTATAGCATTTTTATGAATTTCGTATAGATTTTTTTTAATCCACATCTACAGAACTAAACTCTGCATACTGATTTTTTTAAACTGAAATTTCATTGCTTTACTTGGCAAGCTAAATACAAAAACAAACGTCTCAATATCAATTCTTGGAACAGATTTAGAAGAATCTCTAACAAATTAAAGGAACATAGATATTTAACGATTTTAAAACATAATTGAAAACACTGACATTGAAAGTTAAATCCAAACAAAAATACACTTGAAAAGATACGAGGACAAGGAGACTGAAAACACTTTAATAAAAAAGATCATGATCTGAAAAGCACATTATGTTCTGCAAGTGAGATCTATGTCTCATCTTTTGTAATGTGTCCATACTACATAAAAAAGTAAATTAAAATCAACCATGAATTAGGTTTTTTGATTCTTTGCATGGGAAACAAACTGTGTGATGATCATTTTAAACCAATGTTTGTTTTCTTATACACATAGCTTTTCCCCTTTCAAGAATCTGACATTTCAATAGAAACTTTTCCGTCACAGTAATCTCATGGTTAGATAGTATGTAAGCAAACAGGGGATTAAAGGCACCATAAACTCTGAGAATAGCAGGTTCGATAAATTTATGCATTACTCATGTTTTTTAAATATGTTCTTGTAAATTAGCAGGAATAGCCGTTACACCTAGTCCTTCACTATGATCTTCACTGAGTTGGTCACACATTTTCATGTTTGCTGCTATAACACTCTTCTAAATTATTTGTAAGTTAATAGTATGTGCCTTAAGAAGGCCTACACAGCAGTGAGATTCATCAGGCCCAGAAAGAGAGGACAGCACATGAATAGCAAATCCCAGAAAATAAAGAAATGACAAAGACTCTCAACTAGTGAGAGTCTTCTGCCGCAGCTCGTCGTAGCTGGGCTTCCAGAAATACAAGACATAAGGGTACAAGTGATAGCGCTCACCTTGCTTAACTTTAACCAGCTGGAAGTCAAGCCCCTAATCTACGCTCATGTAGGTCCTTTCTCTCTCAGGGAAGGACATAGTGCAGAGGAAGAAAGTGACAGTGAACAATCCTATTTTGGGACAGATTCCTGCAATAGGTGGGGTGAGTCACGCTCTGGCAGTGTAAGTTATATAAAGAGACAACCAAAATGACTGAGCTCAGACAGGATGCTAACTTTTGCCTTTTCAAGCTAAGCGAGCTGAAACCCATCTAAAGCGTTCAGGGTACAAAGAAAGACCGCTCATTGCCTGCAAGTATCCGTCCCTGGCAAAGAAGACTAAACTGCAACCAAAAAAAAAAAAACCCCAAAAGGTTAATTCTATTCATGGAAACACTCACTCTAATGATGACTTTAGCTTCCTATAAAAGAGGGAGGAATGTGCAGCTGTTTAGTGCATGCTTGTGTGCACAGCTCGGGTATCCCACCATGGGACGCGTCTCTCTGCTCAACCGAGGCGAGCCGGGCTCGGTTGCGGTTGGCGGGACGCCTTCCGGACCTAGGCGGATGTCCCCGAGTGCCTTTGTGCCCTGCCCTGGTAGCTCTGGTCGGGGGCTGTGTTAGTGCCTTGTTCTTCAGCTCTGCGGGAGAAGGGCTGACTTGTGAGCAGAGACGGTATTGCCTCTGTCTTCAGTGTCACTGCGTGCTGGCGTATGAGCCTGTGTGAGTCATGGGAAAGATTAGCTGCCTTCCTCCCTCCTCTTTTGTAGAGCTGCTATTCAGTCATCGAGATTAAGACATGTCTTAATTAGTCAAGATAGAGATGCCCTGCAAGGAACTGGAAGGTATCCTACGCATTTTTCCCTTATGCTTTGTCTTTTCCTCCCTTCCCCTAGGAAAGAACAATTCTGTCTCCAGAAAGGGAATCAGACAAAGCTTTTAAAATGTTACGATGCATTAAAGCAAAAGCTCCTCAGTCCCATGAAAAAAAAAAAAAAGTTATATATTTTGTGCTTATCCTAAGTAAAACATGAGTCACGCCTGAAAATAATTTATTTCTAATTTATTTCTAATACTAAAGTATGGACAACCATTCCTGGAGGTCTAACACATGCTTGGTAAATGGATGGTAGATTTAGGGGACAGGAGGGTTAGAGGAGAGAGGGGATTTAAACCTGAAATCAAGTAAATATTTTTTTTTACATCAAAATCTGCTGAAAGCACAAAGTGTATGCAACTCATAATGTTGCATAATAAACTAATAATGCATTGTCTAACCTATTCCTTATTGCAGATAAGATCCCATCATTTAGAGTTGTAGTCAACATTTCCTCCAGCCCTAAAAGGACCATTTCAAAAACTTAGAAGCACCTAGTTTATACCTATGCCTTTTAGGCATAATCCACTTCATGGATTATGTATAAGAAATTTTAGACAGAGTGTGGCTGTAGTATTCAACATAGATGGCAATAAGGTGAACCTAAAGAATATATGGGGTCTTCGGTGTTTACATAATGCATGGTAGTTTTCACACCACAGTCTAACACACTAAAGCTGCTTTTCAAACCTAGATATACTAATATATTATTCTCCTTGGGAAACTTTCACAAATACAGATGTTACAAGTGAAAATAAAATGAAAAAATGAAATGATCTAAAAGAAGAAAAAAAGGCAGAACCCCCCAACCCTTAAAACTAAAACACATAAACAATTCTGCATCCTTTATTTTATCCTGTGTTCTTGTAATATTCCTTTGTCTCAAATTGCTCATGAGGAAGCATTCACAGCATAAAGAAATGCTTGGAACAGTGGGTATTTTAGCTGTAAGTTCTTTTGGGCTGGGAACTGAGCCTTCTTTCATACCTCTGTAATGCACATTGAGGTGGATCTATACTAATGATAACACCAGATGCTCCTTGGTTCCAAACTGTAGTAAATCTTTCTTTTTAGGATATTACAGTATCCCTTAGGAAAGCAGCTACCCCAAAACATCTTTCCACCTTGAACACCAGTGAGTAGCCAGTGATAAAAATGGTTGTTTAGCTGTATGGTTAGAGAGCTGGTCTATATTGCATGCAGCTCACTTCTGGTCTATACTGAACAAAGGACTTTTTGCATTGTGCAGCAGTGGGAGGCAGGAGATGGGAGAGAAGGGACGGGCTTTGAGCCAGTCATTTGAGGAACAGGGAGGTGAAAATGGGGTAGGTTATCAGAGTCAGATGTGACATCTTCTATTTGTTCAGAAGGACTGCTCTTACGGGGAAAGGCAAAACGACTTTAAGTGGCTTTTCCTTTCCTCTCCACCCCCTAGGAGAAATCCTGAGCTTATAGAGTCACATCCAGTCAGAAATGTAGGGA